AGGCGGCAGAGGCAGCAGCAGCAGCAGCAGCAGGCTACATTTGATGATTATCTGTTATATGTCCAAGATGACTGCAATTGAAAAGCAACTACCAACTCAGCCAGAAGTGCATGGCTGCAACGAGTGATGGGGGCGAGGGGGAGTGCTGACAATGCTCGCAGGCAATTGGATTTGCGTTGAGTTCAGTTCTGTTCACATGCTGATATGGATTCTAAGCGGGAGCGAAAGAGATGGCCACATCTCTAATATTAATATTAGTCTTTGATAACTGAGCAGAACTCGACTCACAAGTAAACTTCAGGACAGCTGGCAATGGGGAGTTGCCAGCTGCAATTGCATGCGAGATAACGGAAATACCATTAAAGCTGAGCAGCAGCAACAATCGTTGCCAGGTTACTCCTTCTGCCATAATACTTGTCGTCACTAAGAATCGACCAACTTTGGCATACTAATCAAGTCCTACAATGGTGCTGAGCTAGGCTTACATCGGTTTACAAATGAGCATTTATTGAATTCTGTATTAAATATTCCCCAAATATTCACTTGGAAATGTTTTAAAGCTTTCGACAGCTATAACTTTGTCAAAACTGAACCGATTTTCAATAACCAGGCATCATGGTTGGACCTTTTGATAAACACAAATAAATGCAATTTTTAATTGGGATTTGTGTACGAAATATTATATCGAAAAATCAACTAGGGAATAGTTTTAAGCTTTTCGCTGTGCATCAGTCCTTTCTAGTATTTGTATAAGTAAGTATCTAACTTTAGTTATATTCATTAGTCAAGCATCTTTCACCTTTTTAACAAAGCGCGACAAAAAGCAATCAACGCGTCCTTGACAAACAAATTTTCCAGCCACTCTTAAGCTTTTCAGACAAAACAGTCGAGTAGAAGAAGAGTACTTCAAGCAAACGAAAAGCCAATTATAATTAAAACAAATTCCATTTTGCCTTATCAGCGTTGAGTTATCAAGGGCGATAGCAGCCAAGGGGCAAAGTGCCACAGACTAGACTGAATGAAGGTTGGTTGGTTGCTTGTTCTGAGGTAGGTGGTAACAACAAGGGTAACAACAACACAATATACTTGTACAAAATGTATATGTTTTTAGTTGCCACAGGGCTGCGTACTAACGACACTCAAATCAAATGCGATAATCTATGACCCGAGGGTAGACAGGACGCAACACTGAGCCCTGGCAAAAAAGTCTGCCATAAAATAAAAAACACAACGAAAAACAACAACAAAAAACAAAAAACAAAAAAAAAAAAATAAAGTAGTCGCACTTTATATTTATGAAGAGCATTCGCATGCAGCTTTAATGGCCAAGTGGCTGGTCAACTGAACGACAAAAACACCAGAAAACACAACAAAAAGAACGAGTAAATCGTCGCTGGTCGAGAGTGCGCGACTCCCAGATGCCCTATAAGTACTCGTACTACTATATATCCAGATACTTTAAACTTTATGGGAAAAAGCAACTTATAATCTTATAGTTTTATACGATTGTTATGAAAGTTTCGGTATTAAGAGAGAGAGAGAGAGAGAGAGAGAGAGAGAGAGAGAGAGAGACAAGAAATGTGGTACTTGAAACCGATTATAGCTGCCAAGATCATTTACAGATAGCAGACATTACGACATATATACCAGACTTATTGGTAGTCAAACGTAACTGTACTTTGGCATTCAAGTTGTCATCTTTAGTCCGTTACAACTTTATTACAGCCTTTTGTGCTTCTTATCAATCTTTATGTGTTTACAGGGTATAAAAAAGCGGAAAAAAGAGCCACGAGTAATGGAAAAATGAGTGACCAAGCCAAGGGACCCAGGATGGGTGGTGTGTGGGTCAGTCAGTCGACAGTCGACAGTCGGACAGGTGGGGCACTGGTGACGCCCACAAAAATACATTTCCTTGGATTATTTAACTACTATTGATGGCGGCGACGGCCAACGACAGGACATTGAGAAGGACGCAAGACAAAGGGCGGAGCCTCGTTGAATGAATGGCTGAGGGAAAGGCAAACGAACGAAGAAACGAAATGAAAGCAAAAGAAAGGAACGGAATGGAGGCGGGCACGGCAAATAAAAATAAAACGCAAAAGGCGCCCGAGGCCCCTCAGCAGGAGTGGGTGGGGTGAGCGAGGCAGTGTCTCGAACCGCAGAAGCCACGAAAACCAATGCAAAGAAATCGACAATCGGCTGAGTAACTTGAAGAAGAAGAAGAGAAGCAGCAGCAGCAGCGGCAGCGGCAGCGGCGCTTTGGTTACCTGAGGGCACCCACAAAAAAAAAAGAAAAGAAAAAGTAGAAGAAGAAGCAGCAGAAGCAGAGGCAGAGGCAGAAGCAGCAGCACGCAAAAGTAGAAGAGGCAGCGGCAGCGGCAGAGGCAGAGCAAAAGCGTAGGCCGGTTCCGTTATTTATTTGCTCGTTTATTTTCAGCACTTTTCGGCGCATTTATTAGAAGTTGTTGCCGTAAGCATTGAACAAAATAAAAAGAAGAAGAAGCAACGGCAGCAGCAGCAGAGGCTTGCTAGTTAAAGGTGGGGGAAGGGAAGGGGAGTAAGGAAAATTGCTTAGCGCTTAGAGAGGGGTGCGTAATGGCTGCTTGGGCAACGAAATGCTTAAGCAAAAAATATGAAGACAGAACAATATAAATATAGAAAATATATATATTTATATATATATATATATTTCAAAGGTTAGACACGCACGTAAAGCAAATGAGGGAAAAAAAAGCAGCTTCAAATTGTCGACAGCAACGCCACCTAGCGCTGGCAATTTGAACTCACTGACATGTTGTCAGCGTCAGGCGTCTTTTTTCAGTTTTCTTTTTTTGAGTGGGGGAAGCGAATTGAAAATCATTTGTAAATCAAATTTGAAAAGCAGATAAAAGGATGCATATAACGAGATGGCAACGAGAATGGAGAATGGAGCGAGAATCCTGGCTGCTTTTAACTGATGAGAGGGGACTGGGCGGATGAGCATGAGGAGTCCTTACGAATTTGTTGCGGTGGCAACGTGAAATTTGTCAAATTCAGCGAACATCATTCGTCATGTCTTTGCTCCACGCGCGCTGATTCCGATTCAATTGGGTTTTGTGCGAAGTTTGGAAAGATATTTTGGCATCGCCTTTCCGCCGATGGGTTTTTTGGTGGGATTATTGGCAGCGAACTTGCGAGTTTGACATTGGGGCTTTGTCAGGATAAGCAGTGCTGCCTGTGGATGATGATGCTGCGGTCTTGGCCAGACACAAACACACACACACACACACAGATAGATAGATAGATGGATAGATGGATAGATAGAGAGCGGCAGCAGCTATGTGTAGGTAGGACAGATGGGACAACAGGCAGCGCAGGGCACAGAGGCAGAGAGTTGGAGAGAGATGGAGAGATGGAGCTTAGCTTGACTCTCGACTGTCATTCACGAACTTCTTAATTGTTTGTTATTAATGATGGCATTGTTGTCCTTGTCCTTGTTGTTGTTGCTGTTGCTGTTGCTGTTTTTTGTTTATTTTTGGTTGACTGTCAAATTGAAAATGACAAAAATGAATGGCCAGACGCAGTTGTCGTTGTCGCAGTCAGTTAAGCTTTGGGCTGACTTTGATGAATGCCGCCCGCCTGGCAACAGCCCACAACAAAACTAATTGATTGCCGCCCGCCACGAAGCCCCCCTCCCCTAATATAACCCATGCCACACAGCCTGAGCAACTAGCCACAATCCACATAGACAGCGTTACGCACTAAAAGCAATCGCTGCAAATTAATACAAGCACTTTTCACGCCAATCACACACAAACACAGACATGGAAAGAAAATGCCACTGCTGTCCGAGCTTGGCACTAGTTGAGAATCTCAAAGAGAGAGAGAGAGAGAGAGAGAGAGAGAGGAGAGGAGTAAATGTGCGTGCTATAAATAAATTGGCGCTTGAGCAATTTTCAATAAATGACAGCACTTGTCTTTCGGTAGCTTCTCGGCTGGTGTCGCCCCAATACAAAAACTGCGCTCTCCGCAATCAATAAGCCAAAATGCTCAAAGGGGGGCGTGGCATAGCAGTAGTTGGGGGGGGGGGGGGTTTGTGGGGCTGTGTCGTCTATTATACGAGTTAATAGAGGTAGTTTTTTGAAGTGTAAAACGCTTGAAAGCCATTTGACTTTTTGATGGGTGCACATAAATTTACGATTATGCGGCCCATTACATAACGGAGAGCTCTCATCGCTGTAATGGGCATATTTTACTAGCATTTCAAGAAAGTTTTCCAGCCTTGAATTATGTTTGCCAAATATTTGTTTATGCCATGTTCTTTTCTGACTTGCCAGCCATCCATTGGAAGAATTTAAGTTTCAAATGGTTCACAGCTGAGTGCACTTCTTGACTTATTGTTGTTGCCTGTTGTCTGTGGTAATTAAGCGAATTGTATTGAATATATGCTGTGAGCGGATAATGCTAGTTGGTTTCAATTATTTTTGACTCGTCCCTTGGGCAGATTATATAAGAAAAACTGAACAGTTGAGGCTTATAAAAACTTATTGAAAACTTACAGCTTTTTCAATGAATTCTACGAATAACTCAAAAGTTATGGGTTTTATTCATTATTATTTATTTAATCAGTTGAGTTAAGAGACAATTGACATGTCTTTAATGGAAGTCTCTATGTCTCTGTGAGGAACTGCATTCTTCTGCCAGTTACAAACATTTTGCACAACTTCAATACACCCTTCCTTGTACCTTCATTATCAATGGTTGCAGGGTATCAAACAGACAACTTTAATTACTAGTATTGTGTTTAGAGTAAAGCCCGCAGAATAACAGACAAGTTTAATTACTCATATTGTGTAGAGCAAATCCCACTGAATAACAAGTCCCATGCGGTACAACTAATTCTCAGCAATTCTCCCCTTCCCCTTGCCCTTCCACTTCCAGCAGAATTGCTGCCACATGTTAGATGAAGAGAAGAGGCAGGTAGCTGTAGCTGTCACTGGCTCTGTGTGTTTTGTACTCACCGTGGTTGTGGCCGGTGTGGTGGCCGTGTGCGGCGTATAGGCGGCATAAGCCGGCTGGGGCAATGGTGCCGTATAGCGATAGGCCTGCTGGGCGACCGCAGCGGCAGCGGCGGCAGCAGCGGGGGCATAGCCCTGCGGTGTCCAGCTGGTTGCACCGCGATAGGGGGCGCCAGCTGCTAGAGCGGCGCCAGCAGCAGCAGCAGCTGGGCTAGTCATGGCCGGTGGACGCTGTGGTATGGCGCCTTTGAGTGCAACGGCTGAAGCGGTCAACGGTGCGCCCGGGAAAGCGCTGCGAGGCGTTGGCGGTGCGGCTGCGACGCTAGCGGCACTGGACGAGCCCTGCAAGCACACAAGAGGCAAGTTAGGGGGAACAGTGAGCGATTGCGATATACATATAAATATATATATACATATATATACATATAGTGTTGTTGTGTAGCATTTGTGCATGCATAAATATTGCATAGCATGGATTTTTGGTTTGTTGTTGTTGTTGTCATAAATAGAAACCGCAGCACAGCAGCTGCGTCTAACGGTTGGCAGGGCTTTGCTTACCGCCGCTGCCATAAAACCGCTATGACATCCGCCATGACACAAACACGCACACACTCACACACACACACACACACACACACACACACACACACACACACACACACACTCACACACACACACATTCATGCGTACAGTCACAGATACAGCAGTTGGATGGTTTTTTATTGAGTGCCAGTTGCGCTAGTTCATCACAAAAACAAAACAAAAAAATGTTAGAGCAACAACGACAACAACAATGTGTAAAGAACAAAGCGTTGCCCATAAATAAATTGTTGCAGCAATGCGGCGTGGTGTGGGCGTGGCAGATGCAACAGTGCAGTGTGCTGGCGTCTGTGTGTGTGTCCTTGCTGCTGCTGCTGCTGCTGCTGCCGCTGCTGCTTCGTCGCGCTTCCTGTGTGCTCCAGTTTTGCATTGCAAATGTTTTTTGGCTTGCACAAGCTTTTGGGCTATTTATTTTTTTTTTTGGTTAGCTCCAGGTTATAAACACAAATAACTGTGACTCCCCGTCCTTTCTTTGCCTGTTATGTATAACAACTGATATATTTGAATGCGCTGAACTCTGCCCACACACACACACACACACACGCACACACACAATTATTGCACTGCAGTTTACAAGGTGAATAATTTCATGTTGTGAATTCGCATTTCTTTATCGTATTTTGTTGGCGACCACAACTCAAAATTTATTGTTGTTGTTGCAGTCGACAAAACAAAAAAGTGCCGAAAACCGGAAACAACAAAACGCCATTTTGTTTGGCTGGTTGCCTCAACGGATGCGAGTCATTCTCATAGTTTGCCGCTGCTACTGCTGCTGCTGCTGCTTGCAACTCGCAACTCGCAACTTTACAACTTGCGTCGCGTGTTTTGTTTGATTTTCTGCATACGGCAAAATATGGCCAATATTTGTATTTGGCTTTTGCATTTTCCTTGCCTTGCTGGCACTTTCAACATTTCAACATTTCCAGTTAATTTCCGTGTGCATGCAATTTGTATGCGGTTTCGCTGCTGTCGAAGCTGGAGCCTATTTAGGGTACGTTGCGGGCAGGCAGAACTGCAGTGTAATTTGGCAGCCAAATGACGGGAAAAATGAAGAAGAAAAAAAAAGTACGGCTACGCTTTCAATTTGAGGTGCAGCAATTTATGGCAGTCAAGTTGCAAATGCCACCCAACCAGAGACATGCAACTTTAAGTTTAGGAGTTTAGCAGTATTGGCCAAATGTTGGCGGGCCGGTAGGTAATCGAATCATTTTCGACTTCAAATTGAAAGGCTGCCGAATAAATTTGATGATTGATTGCCAAATTACGCATACGACATGTCGCCAATTGTCAAATCAAAGTTAAGAGAACACTTTTATTAGCTCGTACAGCAGTTGGCCATATTCAAAAATGAATAAATTTCAATTTAAATTTCTATTGCTATGCAAGATTACTCGCTCCCTGCTTTCTGCTATCTCCCTTTGGCAATTTGGGCACTTCAAGTTTAATTTTTAGCACCTCAAAAAATAAACTTTTTGGCAAACAATTTAAAAAATAAAAAATATAATAATAATTGCCACAGCATATACTTTACAGTGTATATGCAACATTTAAGGGCATATTACCTACCCAAAGTGGCAACCAAAGAAGTTTTATGGTTATGCGCATATTCCCAAACTCCTAACTCCCATCAATTGCTTCAATTTTTGGGCCATAAAAGCGAACAGGCAAACATTTTAAGCGCACAAATGCAATAAATTTAAGCCGCTAAATTAGACACGTTTGGCACATTGTGGGGAAGGCCATATACATATATACTTATATATATATATAGAAGTATATATATATATATGCTGGTACAATTGCTATCGCTCGTTTTAGGTCCCCCAGTTGCCTGGCAAAAATAATCATAAAGGTAATTATTTTATCGTTCGCTGAAATTCGCTTAATTTCAACGTTGACTGCAAAATAAAATAAAGCAAAAGCAAAATGGAAAACAGTCAACGACTAATGGAAAATATGAAGCCCAAGCGCCTAGTCGAGATGCCTAGTGAAAGGAACGTGAGCATAGCCAGCCAGCCAGCCAGCCAGCTGATACGACGCTCGCAAAGGGGCCCGGGCCGGGCCGGGCCGGGTAGTGACACGTGGTGGATGGGAATGGGAATGGGGATGGGGATGGATGCCAGCTCCTGTGGCAGGGCAGACAGCGGCATTGGGGAGCCCAAGAATGAGGACGTGATTAATTATCAAATTGGGAGCCATTATCGCGTGCACTTCGTTGGAGGGTGTTATAAAGTTTGCGGCACACGCACACACTAACAAATACACACACACACACATACACACACACACACACACACACACACGTTGGTCGGCGCATTCGTTACGTTTTATTTTTGGTAATTTCGTCGCGTTTGGAACATTTTGTTGACGCTTTTGTTCTATTCTATTAGATATTTTCGTTCGCCATTTTTATGCAAAGAGCGTTTGCGTGCCACGCCCTTGAATTTGTAGCCGGGATTGGGCGGGGGAGGCTGAGGCCAACGATATGCTGCTCCTGCTGCTGCTGCTGCTGCTGTTGCTGCTGATAGTCATTGGCTTTGGTCGTGGCCGGTTCCTGCTCGGCTGGCTTCCTCTTTTCCTGACTGTTTGCCTGTCTGTCTTCCTGCCTGTCTGTCTGTGTGTCTGTCTGTCTGTGTGTCTGTCTGTCTGTCGGGCAAAGGCAAACAGCGCCACAGCCAAAATCAAGCGCAAAATATTAATGATAATAATTTATTACGAACTGACAGGTAGACAGAGGCGTGATACGGGTGGGGGTAAAGCAGTGGCAGGCAGTGGCAGACAGGCAGCAGGATGGAGGTGTCGCTGTCACGCCCTACTCATGGGCGCACTGATAAACGCTTTGTGATTAGCGCTGCCAATGTTCTCATTGTTGTCGTTGTTGTTGCAGTTGATTTTGCTGCTTTTGGCTGCCGCTCGACGGCCATTGTCATTTTGCAAAATTTATGCACAAATTTCGAGTTTATTTTAATATTTTATTATTTTGTTGTTTAAGTATGTCGACTTGTTTAATTGTTTGGGCTGAGTTTGGCGTGTGTTTGCATAAGCTCGAAAGTCATCTGAGTGTACAGATATTGAATATATTCGTACAAGCTCTTAAGTGGCATGTTCAACTTTAACTTTGGCTTCTTCAAATGCTTCGTCAGGTTTATTGAGAACTCTTAAATTATCCTCAACTAAATACCATTTTGCTTATCCCATCTACAAACTTGCTGTTGTTGGAACTACGTCTAGACTCATTATCCCATCACTATAAGTTTGCTTTGGAATCCTCTGACCGTTTACGGTTTTATTACGGTCACGAAGGGTGTCTCGTACGTGTCTATTTCAGGTCACATCTCTTATCTCTTCTCGATACGAGTCCTCTTCCACTATCTTATCGTTGGACGATAAAGCATTCTGGACCCTTTTGATAGGCTTGCTTTGCAAGGATAGTTTGACGTGCATTTTGATTTTATATACATATTAGATATAAGTTGAAATTGCTGCAAGATAAAACAGCTACTTTATTTTGGTGGCCTCTCTATTTAAAAGCCCTCATTTTCAATTCATTCCCAGCATTCCCAGTAAGGCCACATCAGACCCATTTTGGTATTTGCAGCGCCATCCAAGTTTTGTCATTGTTTAAGGTATTTGAAAAATTCGTAGGCGCAAATTTCAAATTACTTAATGCAAAACTAGTTGAAAAGAAAGCCGAGAAAATAGTGCTGCAGGCGACTCGGCACTTGGCAATGCAAAGACACAAAAACCAAGAGCACTGCTAAAGTAGAATGCATAATATTTGCATACAGCTTAAGAAATGTCTGCACACATATATATATATATATATATATATATATATATATATATACTGGCATATATACATTGGCAGGCTGTGTGACTCTTTGCATAATTCATATTTTCCAACCACTTATTGTTTAAACTAAATAAAGCAAAAACTTTTTCCATAATTAAAACCGACGGCAAAGCGCAGAAAGTCGCTAGCGGGTGACCAGTTAGGGGCTGGTTTGGGGAGGTAAGGGCGTGGTAAAGGGCCCAGCAGAAAAGGCGCAAGAGCGGAAACAAAAGAATTTTCCTTTTCAGTCACAAAATTTTCCCTTTTTCTATACCCTCCAATTGCAATGTCTGCTTGAAAAGGGTATAATGAAGTTGTGCAATAGCAAAAACTGTTTTTTTTTTCTACTACCAGCAACTGGATTTCATAACTAGAAACTAAATCCATTTATTAATCTTTCATTGAGGAGATAATTATTTTTATTGATATTATTGAAATATCTTTAGGGCTTATTGCAGGGTATCTTCATGCCTACGACTCGATTGTTGTTGCAGTAGCTGCTGCCTTGCCTATTTGAATTCTATGCGGTAAATTAAATTTTGTATTGTCCTCGCATTGGGCATGAAAATTCGCGAGTGTAAATGCGCCACATAATAATGGGGAATGGGCGTGGCCTGGTCTTAAAATAGCAGCAACTAAAATCGGCCAAACAAAAGCGCGTCAGGAGGTGTGGCTAAAAATGAAAATGAGCGAACAAAAATCCTCTTTTCTTGTTGTTGTTTTTGTTTGTATATATATATAAAAAATTTTTTTTTTTAGCTTTTCTATGCAAATGCACATGTGTGCGGATGAGTTAGTATGTGCATTGCATATGCAACTTTTTTCTGTTTTTTTTTTTTTTTTTTTGTATAGCCTATTTTGCATATTTTCAGTGACTTTTTCTATAGACCTTTATGCCATCCATGTCTAA